TTCTTTATTTCTCTCTCAGTTTACCGTACCGATGGCCCATATTCATGTGGTTGTATTCCAAAGCTCGTAGAGCATTATCCATGTTCACGAAAGCGACGAAAGCTTCACCTGCGTGTTTTCTTGAAGGAATGTGTACACCATTCTCAGCTATGTCGAGTTCTACAAGGTGAGACAATCCAAAAAATAGACAAAACCATATAGATTTTTTAAAATAGTTTCTAGGTCATTATATAAATACCGTTAAAAAAACGTATTACATCTTCTTTACATGAATTATACGGTAAACCACGTAAACGAACAACTGGTTCGCGCCAATTGTCATTATTTGTATTTGAAGAATTCGTATCATTATTTTGATGACTATTTCTATTGTTATTATTTTTTATCATTTGAGCCATTTCGTCGGCATTAGATCCGAATACTTCAATATAACCTTAAATAAATATAAGACTTAGAGTTTGTTTTTCTTTTGTTGTGCTGTTTTAATTCAATGTTTTATTGGACGAGGATGTAGCATCCATCCACAATTTGGCTTAGTCCTCTCAGAATTTGTCCTTAATGTATGACATACTATGTTCTGTTCACTAGAGATCATCCGGTTCGCGTCTTCAAATCTTGCATACGACGAGCCCAACTGTCAACACAATACAAGACGAAGCACGATTCAACTTTTAACTATTTATTATTATTATCTTTTAATGAATATTAGGCTAATCCTACTTTGATTGAAAAAAAAAAGTTTTTTACGACGAAAAAAATATGAACTATGGAAAGAATTTCAATGACCAAATTAGCTAGAATTGAGCAAGTTTTATGCATTTTTGTTCTTCCGGTAAGAGATGACAAGGATGTAGGTGAAGAACTGAGCTACACTATACTATTCAATATCGTGAACGTTCTTGTTTCCGTATTCCACTTTACAAGAGAAATCCTCAGCAAATTAATCATTTTACAACCAAGACTGCTTCAATATGAAAACCCAAATAAGCAACGAATGCTCTTCAAAGAATTTAGACATCTTAAAATTGCAACATGACAGTGTCTATACAGAGGAAGATTCTAACGACAATAGTTTATTGTGAAAGTCTCAAATCTTATATTAAAGTACAGTTATAGTAAACACGTATCTTTTACATCAGTAGACTTGATATTGTTATTTTCGGGTAGAAGCGAATCAACTTACAACAATTAAGACATATCTCTCTATAAAATTTCAAGTCAAAATTCGAAAATGATTTTTTGTTAACAGAAACCATACCATTCAATAAAAACAACTGCCCTAAAAGTGTCATGTCTCCATAGTAGTAAACTAAAATCACGAACTTTGTTCTTGATATTCATAGCTCATATGGATCTGTATGATGCGCGTAGTTTTGTCTGAAAAGCGATTTATCAGTTAAATAACGTCTTTGTCAATAATTTTGAATATTATCAACATCCATGAGAATATTTGTTTTGACATAAGGTAGAGAAACAAAATCTTGAAAACAAAATAGTTTTCAACTATGAAGACAGTCGTCATATCAATAATTCAATAATGTCAATGAAAGCATTATTGATTATTGAATTTGTAATAGAAAAACTCAAATTCGTTTCATAAGTCTTCGTTGAACTAACTATTACAAACAAAATTTTAAATATCACAGTAGAATAAATCAAATATTCAAATCCTAGCAATCTATTGCGGGTGAAAAACAATACTGGCTATGGCCAAATTTTTGGAATAATTTACGAATGAAAAGAGTTACACAGCTGCGATTTTCACCGTTCGAGAGAGGAGATCTGAAGCCGTCAAAGTATATCGAAGTTTGATTAGTTCGCAATTGATAAATCAGCTAAATTCGTGGTAGAGATTTGTGAAAATGATAATCTGAAGCTATTTTAATCGCAATTAAGACTTTTAATATGATTATACGATAGAAAAAATTCTTTTTTTTTCGATCTGCTTAGCAATTGCAATTCATAAGACTTTTCCTGAGTCGAATAGTGCCATTTGTTTTCAGATACAAAATCATCTACCACTGTTATCTCAATATCGGTGTCTCCATTTCATGGGGACTAATTGTTGAATCTTTAGACATATTTAGATAAGGGTTTTCCTGATGATCATAAGTCGATTAGCTGAAATCGGAAGTCTTAGAGAAAGTCTTATAACTTCTGAATGGAACTAGCTAAGAATGTCAGCCTTGCTCAGATCTAAAGAGAAGAATTGTGTCTATCGGATAGTCTCTTTCAAAGCCTAAATTCAATTGAAAATACCTTTGAAATATCGTTTTCTATAATCTCATCAAGAGCTCACCAAATTGGTCAATTACTGACCAATCATTTTTCAATACACTTTGACGGCTCTAGATCCGCTTTCGTGAATAGTGAAAATCGCAGGTCGCTAGTTGCTTCCGGTCTCAATTTATATCAAAAATAGTCATGATCACTATGTTTTTGGACAAATAATAGTTTTGTACTTTTTTCCGAATATAACCTTACAAAAAGTCTTGTAATTAGGCTTTAGATTTCTCTTGATTGCATCACCATTACTGTTCTTCAGAAAAAAAAACTCGTAATTACAAAATACATGAAAGAGCACTAATACCAATGACTTAATCATAACTGATCTATTTTATTTCTTTTTCTGTCTCTATTTACACAATAGTCTAATATTATTTTTCTTTTGCTTTCATAATTTGCCAACGATATAAACATCACTACTCTTAATATCATAATCTATCTTTGTAGTATACGTGCTTTTTATTTATCTTATACATTTATCACTATTTATGAAACTGTCGTGAAAAAAATTTTGTAACAATACGTACGAGTACTAAGATTTTTATAATTAAAACTTTTTGCAATATCAACATCTTCGCTTGATTCTAATACAACAAAACATTCACCAGTTGATCGACCTTGATTATTGGTTACAAAATTTATTTGACGAATTTTACAACCTAAATAACAATGAAGTGTTTTTTTTTTACATAATCATAAATCTAATTAAATCAATAACAAATACCTTTAAGAAAATCGTGTATTTCACTTGATTTAGTACTCCAGGGTAAACCACGAAGACGTACAACAAAATTATTAGTGCCATGTGAATCAGTCATGGCTAGAGATAAATATGAAGATGATCAAATATTAATGAAATAAATAATGAAAGATTATTGTTACTTAACAATTAATTAGATAATATATAAAAAAAAAAAAGTATCCGCTCTAGAAAATATCGATTTGCATCAATACTTAAAAAGTAAACCAATAGAACACTTTTGTTTATCAGATTATTATAGTGATGGATTATTTTATTTAATGCGAATTAATTCAATATATTTGTTAAGTGACTTTACTTAACACTTAATATAAAACGTTAATATAATCACTTAATTATTAATAGTAAGCAAGTGGGCGTATGAGAATCTGATTAGCCTTTTTATGTCTGATATCGGTGAATGAAATATAGAATGAAAGAATGCAACATGGCGAATATTATAATAGTAAACTCGAGGTACTTTAGTAATATTTGAAAGGTGTGTGTGTGTCTACACCTCAAGTCTGAAGACCATGCGACATAAATATAGAGAGACACATGGACAATATGTGATGCTGTTAAAAGAATCTCATAGAACCATGATCTATTATTCAACATCCATTCGATAGTCCTTGAGTTAGGCTATATTTCGAAGGACAAACTGTCTTCTCAACGAACTATTTCTCTGAGAAGCTGTATACGTATTGCTCTGATATGGGAGAAAACATCAACATACGCACGTCTTTCTTTTGTTCTTGATCTAAATTAACTTTCTTGTTTCAATTTGCATCATACCTCATATTATTGTCCCTGGAAAATTTCACAAGTTGATATGGTTTTCAGACTCTAAAAAACTTGATCATTAAAACATTGTAAGAATACCAATTGAAAAACTAACCCAAGTTACTATACATTGACAGCATGATTTATTTTGACTCAAGTAGACTTTCTTGCTTTAAATTTGAATGTACTTTGTCGAATGACACCTTGAAAAAGCTACAACTCACACAGATTCGAGCACTTAAAACCCTTGCACGAGAAGATGTGAAGTACGAGTGTGGTTGTGACTATCTCGATGCTTTGACGTCTCGGCATCGTAGATCTACATGTGGATATAGATTAGTGTATGACTGTGTCTGAAGACCGTATATTCAGCTATGTCTACATTCACATTTAATCTCCTACTACACATTAATCATATCCAGCAACACTCCAGTCCATTTGCATCAAAGTGAATCATATGATTGCTATGTATAGAAATTCAAACTAGTTTTTTATTCTAATATCCTTATAATGCTCTAGTGATCAGGTTTTTTAGAGTTTCAAAACCATATCAGCTTGTCGGATTTTTAACTGAACACCAAATTAGGCATCATCTAGGTTGAAGCAGAAAAGTCTATTTGGATCAAGGACGAAAGAAAGAGGTGCGTGTGCTGATGTTTTCTCCGACATCAAGACAATATGTATACAACTTCTCAGAAAAAGAGCTCGTTGAGAATAGTGGTTTGTTCTTCGAAATATAACCTAACTCAAGCACTATCGAATGCATGCTGAACTGTATAACATGATTCTACGTTCGTCTCTTAACAACGCCATATATTGTCCATGTCTTACATCATATTTATGCCGCATGATCTTCAGATTCAGAGTGTAGACACATTTCTATCATATATTACTAAAGCACCTCGAATTTATTATTAAAATGTTCGCCACGTTGCATTCTTTCATTCTATGTTTCATTCGTTGATACCGAACATAAAAAAGTCCAATGATTTCAATCAGGTTTTTATACACCCCTCCTCTCGTTGTCCTCTCTCTATATATTTTCCTGTTTCCTTTTTTTCTAGAATATATGCTAGAAAACTATTAACAAATTCTAGTGATCAGGACTGATAATGTCAAATCAAATCAAATAATAGCTCTTTATCATGATAAATCAAAATAATCCTTGTTTTTTAATTCTTGTTGTTTTCTCTCAATTAATTGTTGAACTAGTTTTATTACCTGATGATATATGATTATAGCTGTTCATTGTCTGTATAGATTTTTCTGTTGAATACGAAGGAATATTCATCGACTATAATAAACACAAACAAAAAACAAAACTTAAGTTTTTCGAAGTTCAATTAAACAATTTACAGTCGCAATTGTTGCAACTTCTTAAATTCATACGACTGTATCATTATCAATACAAACCCAATTATTAGATCTTCTATTGTTTGGATTCAGATCAAAAAGAGGATCAAGTTCTTTAGTTTTTATTTTTGAAGTGTCAAGATGATGATATTCTGCATAAGGAGTTATGATTAAATTTTTATCGTTTGCACGCATTTTTGATAAAACTACAAAAAAAAAACAAAAAAATCACAATTATATTGATTTTGTTTTATTAAGTTCTATGTGTTGTTTTTCTTTGAAATATTTTTACTTGTCTGTATTGTATCTTTTTCTAATGATACTGCAATTATATGTGTTGTTAAATCCAATTGATCATAAGCAAGAAGATTCCATTGAGAAAAATATTCACGTACATTAGCTGTTGACCATGTTTGTGGATGAGATACATAAAAAATACATGATCGATCAGGTAAATCTTGAATACAAAATGAAACATTAAAAATTTATTCTTATAAAATATCATGTATTTACCATCATCATTTAGTAAATCAACATATGTCAGATCAAATGAAAGCATAATAAATAATCTAAAAAAAATCTTCTTATTGTACACTTGATTGAAAATAGTTTCAAGCTTACTTTCCGTTAAATGTATTAACTAATGCATGCTCAATTGGATTTCCTTTAAATTCAGTTTTTTCAGCTAAAAAGCAAAAAAAAACAAAGTTAATGCAATCTCTGTGAGATTAAAAAGTGAAACATGACAGTGTCTGTAAATCTATCTATTTCGATCACAATGCAATGTTCAATTCATGATTTCGGCTACCAGAAGAGTTAAAAGAAAGATCGATCAGAAAAACATTGAAAACTAGAGAAAATGATCTGTTTGCATGCTATTCTGAACTGTTTCTTACTTCATATTGAGAACGGATTTTGCTAAAACCAATGTTAATTTATTGATCGGCAACTATCGAAACACAACCTAATCATAATTCAATCGAATGAATGTGAATGATATGGGACTTTCTGGTGCTTTGTCTACAATATCAGAATAATCATTGTAGAGCACTGAAGATTTATTCTTTCGAGAATTTTAGAATTTTCTTTTCACATTATGAGATATCTCCATAATCGAACGTATTTTATTGTCGTGTTCGTCGATTTTTCAATCAATGATCAGCCTCATGAGTCTAGAGTTAAGGTTAAAAATTTGAAAAAGAAATACAAGCGTGTAATGTGCACGAGAATTCACAATTAGTCTATCTAATAGTATCAATAGCTTCGTCAAAATTGCCAAAGAAACTGAAAAGCAGTTTTTTCCAAAAATTAGCCCGATATAATTTAAAAAAATAGTAATATATTGTTTTCTATTGTCTGGATGGCAAGTCCCATAAATGAAGCAATTCATCCACATCCAACCATTGAATTTCATCAGAATGTTCTTCCATCTACTGTCTCTAATCCTTGTTAGCCCAAAGATTTCTCGATTGCACAGTGGGTTTCTAAAAAAGTAGGTTTTTCTGAATTTGAAAAAAATATTTAATCGACCAAAATATTGTATTCGAAATCAGTGCATTTAAATGCTTCGAATAATATCTAATACAAGAATTTTGAAGAAAAGTCAAAGACAAAAGTCTCCTCAGTCATTTTTGCGTTGAGAAGTTTTTTTTTTTCTTAAAAAATGATTTTCTGCATCATATTCAATAATTTCTGAGCAAGTAAATCACATGTTCGCCTGCTATACACACAGTGCACACACTGTGGTAGGGTAGAGTAAGAATAAGAAAAATTTCCTCAGTCACTCTATAAGGTATGAAAAAAGGCGTGCACTATGCACCTCTAGACTGTTATGGTCTATGAGTACCGTCTTTCAGTATCTGTGAGGGTGAGTTCAAATTTTTACCCTTGTCTTTCAACACTCATTCGAAATCTTGTTTCACAAAAGAGGGAAATTTTTTTTATACCGATATATGCCATCATTTCAGTCATACAAATAGCTGTACAAGTAGCATCATAACCAGCTGTATGTTCATGTCCATTCGATGCATATTTGAAATTGTCAACAACATCTAGAATGAAACAAAAACTAATGTTATAGACATCTAGACTATTATTATTGTTATATACCAAAACGACACGATGGAAATGGTGATTCACGAATTCTTTTATACAAAACATTTAATCCTGTATTTGAAATAATATTCTAATAATAATTAAGATAGATTATAGTTTAAAATGATTCAGATGATATTACTTGAAAAATTGATGTCGATGCAATTGTTTTTGTATCGATTAATCTTTAAAAAAATCAATATTGATTCGTAATTGAAATAACGAGTGGCCCATAATAAATAGAACAGAATGTTTTCCTCTTTTTGGATCACTTCACAGCACATAAGACACTTCATTTCACCTTTGTTCGATAGAGAATTGTCGACTCTTTAAAATTATCACCTTTGTTTTTCAAATAATTTTCTTTTTGTCAATGTAAAATTAAAAAGATAAACGCCAGGTCAATAGTCTGACTGAGAAAGTCAAAAAAAAGGAGAAAATAATCAAAATTTAAAAAAGAAGATTTTGCTGAAATTTCAAATGTGCTACAAAATTCTATGTCTTTTGAAATGTTGTAGGACTTTAGAAGAAATATTTGTGAGAAAAATTTTTGAAATAAAAAGGTGAAAATATTGGAAAAATCTTTTTTGTGGCAGAATGACATTATTATTCTTTTTTATATCCATGTTATGTAATTTTTTTTACTCTTCAATTTTAACAATGATACTATTTTATTCAAAATTCAATTCTGTACTCGACGACCTGAGAATACATGTGTCATAGATCAAGTCTTGCTTTGGAAAACATAGTTTTCTAAAATGTGTCTCTAAATACCATTAGGTGTTGATTCGAATCATTTTTCTCTTGAACGACAGTACGAAAAACGTTGAAAAAGGTCATGAAAATGTAGAGTACACAATTTTCTATCTATTGATGCCACATACTTTACTTTTAGTATTGGCTCTGAGGGGTAAAGGCTTAGACAAATCGATAGATGCGTGCATAAAATCGAAAATAGTGGTTAGATTATTGATTAGATGTTAATCTTTTAAATTTTCTGCCGATGAAAAGGAGTGATTTAACAAGCAAAAATAGCAGTTCTGTAGAGCAGAAAATTCTCTATCAAATGAACGTAACATGAAGTGTTTTATGTTCTGAGAAATGTCCTAAAACGAGGAAAACATTTTGTTTCATTTATTATGGGCTACTCGGTATATTTGTGTACTTAGGAAATAGAGATTTAACAATCGATTTGTATGCTTCATAAGACTAAAATAAACTAATTAATTATATATGAAAATAAAATATAATAAACATACAGGAGGTAAAGGTGTAAAAAATTGATTGATTATATATAGCATATCCATATAAAGATTATGTCCGATTATAGGCTTTCCCTAAAATATAAGTTTTCATTTGACTTTGAGATTTTTTCAGAGGAATGATGAATCACGAATGAATAGATTGCATGAGGTTTTACAAAATTTGGAGAGTTGAAAAAAAGAATACGGTGAATTCATCGCAGACTCGAACTGAACTATGTTCGAAGCAGTACCAAGCAGAGAACATATCCATATATTGAATAGCAATCGAGTTCATATTAGACTTATCAGTAAAATTTAAGTTCATGCCAACATTAAATTACACGATTTTTATCGAAAATTGTTTTTTCATAGATAAGTCTAGAATTATTTCAAAATTTTAGATAAAAATCTCCTAAATTATGTTTTCATAAACGTCTCACTTAGAGCTAGAAAATCTTAATTAAATGATCCTATATTTCGTTGAGCAAAGTATAAAACTGAATGTATTGAGGCTCGAACTAATCTCAGTGATCCCTCTTTGATGAGCCTGATATGATATTAATCGATATTCGACAGTAGGGTGTAAACTCTTTTGATCTAAAAAATTTTTCATTAAACGAATCTAAACCCAGAAATTTCGAATCCGACTGGTTTCACCGAAAGTTTTTTCTTCGTCATTGGATCGTGAATTCTATGTAAATTTGTTTGAAGTTGACACTTGCCATTTTACAGAAGAAAACATAAGGTTCATCATTTTTATTGATCACTATTTTCAACAATCAATAGTCTTGCAGTAAAATCATTTTCAACAAGATTAAGCAGCAAATAAGTTCAAAAAAAGAAGCTTTTCTACGTTTTCATTTATCGAAATTCAAATCTTGGTACGCCAATATCAAGGAAATTTCACTCAATGATATAAGAATAGAGACATATTTCATGCCTCTACTCGAACTATAGCAAAGAAGGAGTCGGTCTGAATGCTTCAAAGTAGAAAAGATGTTGTTTTAAGACATAGTTCTTAATGATTATTTATCCTAACAAAATCACTTACAGACTCTTGTAGTTTCCTAAAAAGAAAAACAAATACTTTAAATAATACAAAAAAGAATTACAAACATACCACATAACTTCTGAAAATCCGATCATTGGATTTTTTAATGACTCTGCGTTGGACGCATTACTGGATTCAAGTTGTTCTTGTACTGAATTTGTTGTTGCTTCAGGTTTTCTTCTATAATAATTGAAAAAAAAAAGTTTTATTTATTTATATGATCATTTAAAATCTTTTACTTTTTATTAATGGTAATACCATTCGATATTTGAGGATTATTATCATTTGATGATGATAGTTGAGAACTTTTTAATGTTTCTAAATATTTTGTTTTGCAAACGAAAGGAATTCCTGAAAAGAAAAACATATGAATATGATATGAATATATTAGAAATAGCGAGCTTCTGTACACATTGTACTCCTGTGTTTCTTTTTTTAATTTCTTAATCTTAACTCTAGACTCCTGAGCATGATCATTGACGGAAAAACAGTCGAACATTGGACATTTCTATCTGAGCACTTTTGCTCAAATGTAGTGGCTTCTTTGTTTCAAGCAATGGAGCTGCTGGACAAATAAACCGGCTTTTATTCTACATGAAGAATAGGCTTGTCTTTATGAACTGACAGAGAACATTGCAAACTACTGATTAACGAAGATGAACCTATGTTTCACCTGGACATTACAAAAACAGTCCATTCTTGAAATCTAATTGATTGGTTTCTTTGGATCAATCAAATTTCAGAAACGTTGTTTTCTCTTATACTCTGCGTAAAATCTGGGTTTATGTTAGTCTATTAGCAGAGCATATTGAAAACTCATGGTTAGCCACTACAAACTTTTATGGTTCAAAGAGATTAAAAGAGAAAATCTTTCCAGAAATCTGCTCGATTATTTCTATAAGTCGATCAGATTGGGATCAGACATACATTCGACATTATCTATATATATATAAGATTACCTTTGAGAAATAATTGAGCAAAATCAAAATGATTAGCTGCTAAAAATTGCAATGATGAACTCTATAATTAACCAGAAATAGTTTGTTGTTGAAAATTTTATTTAATTTTACTTTTGATCGAAACTCAAATGCATCGGTTTCATTTTCAGAAAATAAATAAAAATTATAAGCTTTTAATGCATATCTAAAATAAAAAACAAAGAATCATATGAAAATAAATCTTGCTTTTTATTTACCGATTTTCTCTTTGATTCGTACATTGGATCATTGCAAGACCAATTTGAATCATTAAATAATGTCTATCATACTGGAATAAATAATTGAAAAATTCTTAAACATTAATATGAACGAACAAAAAAAAAAAAAAATAAGAAATTTATACTTCATAATGACGTTTATATCGTTCAGCTGGAGTATCAAAACGACTCATATTATTAAATCTTAATATTCCTGTAAATTCACCATCAACTGCTACATAATCAGCATTATTAATATCATTTAAAATTTCTGGTAAAATATCATAAAAATCTAAATGAATAATAATTATTAATATAAAATTATTTTAATTTTAAAATTACTTACTGTCACGATTAACATCCATTAATAGATCAAATCAAAGTTATTCAACAAAGTAAAAAATCTAAAAACTAGAATTTTACAATTTTTATTTTCATTGATATTTGGTTATTTCAAAAATACCAAACATATTGCGTTTCATATTCTTCCCTGACGTCACTATCAACATACTGAGGACAATATTTTTCAATGTAGCCATTTTATTTTGTTCTTTCATAATATTGGTGAAACGTTTATTTACATCATACGTCATTGCGAAGGAGGATAAAAAGGAAACGTAACGATGAGGAGAACGGTAGAAGATTTTTCGGTTTGATGAGGTTAGCAGTAGAAAAATTTTGAAATTTCTTTGTCCAATCATGCAATGAAGATAATGCTATCGGCGCATTTTTCTTCATGTTTTTCATTCACTTCAATCGAGGTTTGATTTCTTAATATATTGGATCATGCACAAGAATAATAACTTATGTGGAAAATGTCTTGATACAAAATATTCACTTAGTTTTGAGCCTCTTAAAAGCAATTGGTGAGAGTTTAAAATAGTTAGTAAGATGCGAAATTCTATGCTCTTTCCGAACATGAGCTCAGAAATTCTATGTTCCCCTTTGTTCGAGAGAAGAGAGGGAAGTCTTTGAAAGGTGGAAAAATTGGTTTAGGATGGCGTAAAAATCGATTTTTACTAACTCGGATGAGTTCCTTTCTGATGATGCTTAAAGTTGTCTAAGTAAGTTATTTTCTAGAGCGAACAATTTTTACAAAATGTGACATCGCTCTAAACTGTAGCTTGAAATAAAAAGCATTTGTTCAAAGAGCTGCTTGTCAGAGTAAAAGATGCTTTCGTGAAAAATCGATTTTTCTAAAACTGATGATGGTAGAAAAACAAAACTTTAGCTTCCTTATTGGAAGACAAAAATTAAAGTAAATTATGATTTAAAAGTTCATATATCAATAAAAGTTCCAACTTCTATGTAGTTTCGGATTGCAATAATAAAAATGTACGAAAAATTTTCTGTACAAACTAACTTTTTGGACTTTTGCAAGATTCTCTCACTACTCTCAAGAAA